TTTGAATTGATCCGTTCAAAAAATCAAATGGGAGGGGGACATTAGAGAAAAGCACTGTAGGTATATGTGAGGGACATGGATGTATGAAAGTAATTTGGGAGTTAAATAATTGTTTTACAACTTGGCGCATATATTTGGATATTTTTTTTACCGAAGCAGCCGCGCAGGCAGAAGTCTAAATGCCATGACACCACGGCTGCTATGAGGAGCCCAAAGAAACTTTGCTAATCCTACTTTTGAACAGACTAAGGTTGGTAGAACTGGGAAAAGCCTCCTCTTGTAGATTGATCTACAATCTCGACACCCTGGAGACAAAGGAGCGGTTGTGTCGGCCAGTGCTGGATGTAGGAAGTTCGACACGGTTAGGATGGGAGGCCGAAGTCAGGCGGATCTGTCTGGCAGGCACGTCGCGCAGCGGCATCATGGAGCAGAGCTCTGAGGAGCGGAGCCCGTTGGCGTAGCGATAGAAGAGAGATAGATCACCGACAGAACGCCGGTGCAAAAGGGTCCCGAGACTTCAAAGAAAAGTCAGCATCAAGCATGAATAATGTAGTCGGGACGGCAGCACCCCAAACGTGTGGGCAATACTCGAGACTAGGTGTTATCTGGGCCTTGTATAGATTAAGGAGATCATGTGGAGGAAAGTACTTCTTAGCGATAACCAAATAGCCTAGCTTTTCCCCAGCAGCTGCCGCTATTGACGAGATGCGCTTGTGGCAGATCAAGTTCTCGGTGATCTGACCTCCGGCCAGCCGACAAGAACGGCTCTTTGGCAGAACTTGGCCATCCATCGCAAGCGGATGAGCGCTAGGACGCCTTTCTTCGTTAAGGTAGGATGTGGTGGCCAAACGATCACAATTTGTATCTCGTCACCTGACTTTACTTCCCACGCCACTGGCAAGGAGGTATCGTAGTCGAGATATTATGTTTTGTGGATGGTATATGACATCTACATCACGAAAAAATGTTACTATTTTCCGTCAGTTTGTCGGCTTATCGGTCTGTCTGTCTGCCGGCCCTGTGTATAGCTTAAGAAGCGCCTCTCAGATTTTGATGAAATATTCGCACAAGGTTAGTACTACGGTAAGGATAAAAAAACTTTGGAGTTCTTGAAAATAGGTCCAGTAGCGGTGGAGGAAAAGGCCAAAAACAGAAAAAAAATAAAATCGGTCAAACTATGTTTTATGACATTACGGAGGATCTTGACCATTTTTGAAAACATTTTGGGATGAGAAATGGTGAGGTAGGGGGGTGGGGGGAGGTGTATCGCAATTTTGTGACAACAGTATATTTATAAACTTCCAGGGTTATCCAAATTAACTGTCCACCATTAGTAACTTTGTTATTAGTGAAAATACAAAGTTGTTTGAATTAGCAAGCTAGTAGCATTTTTAACGCTGGTAAAAATGAGAAATAAAAAAAAACAATTGAGAGTCGTTATTTTGATTTTTTTCAGTAAAATAACATTTTTTTAAATGGAAACCCCTGTATATTATATTTTTTTCTGTTAAAGCTTCAAATTTTAAACAAAAAGCTTATAATAACTTTTCTCCTAGGTTACAAATTGTTGAAGTTATGGCCTCCAATCTGAAACAATTAAATTGTATCGACAAACTTTATTTTCAACATCAACTTATAATCTTACAAAATACAATAACAATTTTTTTTAAAGAAGATGCTCGAAAACACCACCTTGTTCTTCAATACATTTTTGGGCACGTTTTTCAACTGCTCGAACTGTCTTAAGTATGGTCCTACCATCTATCTGGGTTATCTTTTCCCTAACTGCAGTCTTTAACGCGTCAAGGTTATCGTACCTTCGCTTGTAAATTTGGTTCTTTAAGTAACCCCACAAGAAGTAATCAAGTGGGTTTAGATCTGGTGATCTGGGAGGCCACTGTATTGGGCCATTTGTTTCTATCCACTGATCATTAAAAGTAATACTTAGAAAATGATAAGTACCTCTGGAGGTGTGGGCAGGTGCGCCATCTTGCTGAAAATGCAGATGATGTCTACTTATAAGATCCAATTCGTCTAAGAAATTAGTCAGAATTTCTGACATAAATTCCACATATCTTTCACCAGTTAGGGTTCGCTCATAAAAGAACGGGCCAACAATTTTTGAACCAATTATACCGCACCAAACGTTGAAACTGAAACGGACTTGTGGGCCTCTTGGATGTACTAACAAAAGATTTTCTCTTGACCAATAATGGTGGTTTTTTCTATTAAACATTCCAGAATTTGAAAAATTTGATTCATCTGTCCATAAAAGGTAACGAAAGTTATTTACATTTTGGCGACAGAAGCTAAGATACCAATGGCAAAAAAGTCTTCTCTCTGGATCCCCTGCCAAAAGCATTTGAACTGGTCGGTACTTATACGGAATAAATTTGTATTTTTTTAAAATCCTTTGAACAGTACCATAACTGAAATTAGAGTCCTTGAGAATATCTGCTATTGAATTCTCACGATAAGCTTCAAAATATCCAATAACTGCAATTTCCGTGGCCTCGCTTATTATGAATTCTTTTTTTGCCCTTGTTTTAGCAAAAACATTTTCGTTGCCCCTAAATTTTCGATAAAGTCTCAGAGAATATCGTTCATACGGTTGAATGCGAGCGGGATATAATTCACTGTAGTATTCTCTTGCTCTCAAGGAGGATTTTCTGCACACTAAATAGCATTCTAACATATCACACTATTCTTCATGGGAGAACATTTTTCTTTAAATTAATGACACAATAAAGCTTATAAACAAGTATTTACACTAATGTTTGACATTATTTGATTTTATCATTGTTTTCCAAAGCCTTCTAGTTGCGAGTATGTCCAGTTTAACAATTTGTCGCTTATCTTAATGCTGTCAAATCGCGAACGCCATGTTGTTTTCATAGCCGTCTTAATATTATAATACTGCAAATAATTAAAAATATTTATCGTTATTTTGACTTTATTTTTGACTTTAGCGGAAAAGTCATTATGAACTTTTTTGTTTAAAATTTGATGCTTTAACAGAAAAAAATATAATATACAGGGGTTTCCATTTAAAAAAATGTTATTTTACTGAAAAAAATCAAAATAACGACTCTCAATTGTTTTTTTTATTTCTCATTTTTACCAGCGTTAAAAATGCTACTAGTTTGCTAATTTAAACAACTTTGTATTTTTACTAATAACAAAGTTACCAATGGTGGACACTTAATTTGGATAACCCTGTATAAAATGCATACGTGACATTAGTGGCTGTTCCTAGGCTGAAATTGAAAAACGATTGAAAGGTTTGGAATGTCATTTATTCCGAGTCCAAAGTAAATGTAAGTAACATGAGCTCATGCAATGTAAACTACATGGAAAGCATATTATAGGAAGTTTAATATTAAGATCGCAAGGCAGTCGGTTTTCAATATTCGCATATTGCATACCTATACGTAATGAAATATTTTTGCATCACGTGTCACAACAGGGAGGTGGTTTCTGAAAAATCTATGACGGCACAGGATATTAGAAAATATCGGTCGACCGCCACCAGCGATGAAGGTTCATCGTATTTTCCAATATAAGGTTTGCAAAATTTGATTTTCTAAAACTATAAGCATCCAGATTTCCGCTCTTCCGTATCTTCCAGTGTTTAAAACTTTTGAAATGACAGCGGCTTTAGAATTATGACATCTTGAATCTTTAAATCACTGAAACCCTCAGAGGTTCATAGTTTTAGATGCGAGGGATTTTTAAAGCTTTCAAGATACATTGAAGAGGGGTGATATTTTAGTGTTTCTTTAGTTTAAATGTGTACTATCGTAAATAGCAATTAAATAACAATGCTTTAAAACAAACTAGGCTAAAACTGCTCGTTGTTGTCTTAAACGGAAGAGCTTGAACTTTAATCTAGACAATCGGTGACCTAAAAATAATACTTCTTAACCTGAACTCTTTCAAGAGCAAGTTAAATCGGTTGAAAAAACCCTAGAGGTACATATTTTGTATTTACTTTTTCAACTTATACATGAACGTCAGTAATAAGAAAACTACTGAAAAAGTTTTTTCTTGTACCTTTGTTGTACAATTTGAAAAATTTCAGGTGGTACGAATAATCTACCAGTGTTCATCTATAGTATGTAAATTATTGTTGATTATGAAAGTGCTGAAAACATGGCTTATTTTTTTTAAAACGTAGAGGTGTCTTGCAAACAGTACACACCCAAATGGTCCGAATCTGTTTTCTTGAGTTGCTGCAGTGAGCTCAACGACGTCTGGTTTTGACATCTTAATTGCAATTGGTTCTGAGCTAAGTGATGTTCTTTTCAGCTTTTCAGTACGATTTGCCAAAAGATAATTCACTATTTGTCTTCTGTAATCCTTCATCGATAGGTCTGGCATATTCAATTCTTTATACAAAACAAAGGAATTTACAATAAGTATCAGGTAACCAAATAAGTTCGTGCGGTTTTTAGTAGAAAAACATACATTTTTATTGAGAAACAATAAGACACTATTTATTCGTCGAAGTAATATCCATCACATTCAATGACTTTTTGCCAACGTGGAACCAATTTTTGTATGCCGGTATTGCAGAAATCCCTGGATTTGGAGTAAAAAAATTGCCCGACTGCATTTATTACACCATCTCGAGTTGTGAACTGTCGGTGCCTCATACTGTTGTCAAGAGACAAAAAAAGGTGATAATCAGTGGGCGAAATGTAGGGGAAATATGGCGGGTGCGGTAACGTTTCCCAGCCGAGTTCAGACATTTTTTCTCGGGTCACTTTTGCGGTATGAGGCATGGCGTTATCCTGCAAGAATATCACTTTCTTCCGATTGATCAAAGAAGGCTGTTTCAGGATGAGTGCTGCTTGTACTCGTTGAAGCTGCTCACAATACAAGTTAGCAGTGATGGTTTTTTCCAAAAACTCATAATGGACAATTCCAGTTGCTGTCCACCAAACACAAAACAAAACCTTGTTCGGGTGCAAGGAAGGAAGCCTTGGGTGTGTGTGGTACCGAATCAGTAGGAGACATCCAATGATACGAACGCTTAGAATTCGATTACCAGATCTATTTTTCGTCGCAGGTTAATAACCGATTAAGAAATGGTTCATTAACGTTGCGTGAAATGTTTGCTGAACAAACGGTAAGACGACTTAATTTGTTATCATTTGTCAGTTCATGTGGGACCCATTTGCTTAACTTCCACGTCTTTCCTAGCTGATGAAGATGGGAACGAATAGTTTCAGGACTCACTCTGAACATTTCTGCAAGTTCTTGGAGCGTTGTACTGGAATTTGCGTCCACAATCTGTCGAAGATCCTTGTTGTTCATGATTTTTGGTCTCGCTGAGCGCGGTTCATCGCTCAAACTGAGATCTCCCGAAGAAAATTTTTTTAACCACTTATGTGCTGTTTGATCACTAACGGCATCATCTCCGAATGCGGTACATATTTTTCGCGCCGCCGCCGCAGCTTTTGTACCAAGTTTGTACTCATACAGTAAACAACTTTGAATTACTGTTCTATTCGTCGCTATAAATTATTAAAACTAGGTAGATATGTAACAATTTTCAGCAACTGTTTATGTGTGTGAGAAAAGAAAGATTCATATTAAAGTGACAGCAGGTAACAAATAATCGCTATCGATCAACAAAATCCATGGCAATGTGCGATATACAGCAACCGCACGAACTTATTTGGTTACATGATAACAAAATATACAATGCCACCACCTTTTTGATGTGCGATCGATTTTATTGATATAAAGATTTTGATCAAACTTATCAACAAAATTCATGTTTCAGGTTCATAACATTCCCTGAAAACTATACGCTACATACTCTATTATAATATGTTTATGACAAATATGTAACTATTTCGTGTTTTTGACTTGCTTTTTATCAATTCCTATAAGAACACTCCACTAATGACGGTTCGCAAGAGTTAATGTAACTTTATATACATGATATCCACTGGAATTTCCCTCGTCACTGATACAACAAAGACCGAACACACTTTACAGGCAACACAAAATAATATGCCAGTTCCGTAATTCGACCATCGCGCGGTATTTTAAAATTATTTAATTAGGTCGTCTATCTTATGTACCAGTGTCCCATGACATGCACATTGATCTGGGTACATTTTCTATACCAGAACCCCTAAAAAGAGTAAAGCATTGAAACGGATCATGTACCTAACCGTGGTGAGTTCTGTCGTTCTATACCAAAAGTACGAAATTCTTGGCAGCGACTCATTGATGTTACCATGGGCAGCCGAGGTGAGCAGATGGGTGGAGAGGGATTGTCCCATGTACGTGCGAACTAATTTTTATAAAATATATAAAAGTGAAGTGGTTCATTTATATTCATTTATTTAACCAGATATTTAACAATGTAATTGATAAAACAGAAAAATTATCATAACAAATAACTGACCATATTTGGTATATATATATATTAGGGTGTCCCTTATATTGGTGAAAAAAATAGTTTTGAGATATTGAAACTTATACGCTCCAAGTTTTTTCGAAACTCTTAAACCTAGTCAAAAACAAAATTTTATTTACCTGCGGCAATATTAACCCGTGCCGAGTTTACCTTGAAAATTTCGAAAATAGCTGTTTTCAACTGTTTTTGGTATGTAGCTCAATCTGGAGAATTATAATTATTTTTGGGAACAATAATTAAAAACAAGTCTCAAATAGTAATATTTAATTATTAAGATATATAGAAGTGATCATCGTTCAGGATAGCTTTTTTTTGGGGTCTTTTTTTACAGTCGGAGTACAGTTTCCTGTGTTCCTTTACACAAAGTAGCAAAAACTGCTTTTGCTCCTCTTCAGCAGCGATTAGACCATGGAAATCCTGTATTAGTTTCACAGACCGTTCTGCCGTAGCATTGACTGCTCTTAAAGAAAAAGACTTTCGTTTTGCCGCCAGAAAGGAAGGATTAGTTTCCCAGGTAGACACGGGTTTCTCCAGAAAACTTCTGTCCATTTTCAAACGAAAAAACAGAATTATGCTCCTCGCTGACACAAAATCACCCAATGATTTCCCTGCAACGATTTGTTATCAGCATACATAGTACGAAAGCAACTAAAAAAAGAAACAGCTCAGCAAGTTAAGGTACTTTCACTTACCATACAAATAATTGGAAAACTCGTTTTGTGATGGAATGTATCTCATTCCAAAGTACAGACTCTCTATTTGATGCAATGCTCTAGGAGGTTTGATTTTCAGCTTTTTCTCGTTTTCTCCTCCCAAGAAAATGATAGATAGTTCAATCAGTTCCCGATAGTCTTCGCGTACTATGGATTTCTGAAGCTAATGGTTATAGAATGATAACAATCCTTTAATTTTGTTGCTACTCAAGTTTTGTTGAATGAAGTCAAGGTTTACTTCGACTGCTGCAGGATCAATGTTTTTTCCAGTTATCTTTATATTTTTAAATAATGAAATTATCAGGACTATCGCGACTTGCTCGATTTTTGATTCTAACACACTTTTCAAAACTAATTCGTAAATATGATGGCATCAAGAAAAAAGCAGCAATTCTCTTTCTAGTTTTTGCTCCAACAGTACACAAGATCTATTCAACCGCACAACATATAATTTGTACCTTATCATCATGGTTCCAGTCATACAGCGCGTTTGACACAGGTTTAGCGCGATCCTTACCCGAGGCGCTTTCCAATTTTGGTACAACAAGAAGTTATTCTTTATCTCCGAACAACTCCTTACATCCAGCCCAGGTAATAATTTGCCATCCCAAGGAACAGTAACAATTTCAGGATGTTATTCTGGAAAAAATCATATTTTATGGACTCAGCTCTTTTTTCCGAATCTGTTTACGCATGCGTCGAATAAAAGATTTATTGATGGGAAAGTCTTCACTGCTGAGCCTTAATGCCTCTAGTACAGCCTGAAGTACATAAACTGAGTCTCGAACAGTTAAATGGGATCTATCTAAAGCTGCAACTAACTAAGCCTTTTCTTCATCTTTTCTTTGTAGTCGGATAACTTAAAGGTACAGATGTTGATGACTAAGCTTGTTCCAGGCTTTCACTGGAAATGGTAGGTAAAGCATCCGGTTTTGTGCGCTGTACTGTGTCCTGTATAGAGAACGATGATGATGCAGCCTTCAAGCACATTCGTTCGAGTCTTTTATTTTCTTATAGTTTTTTCTGACGAGCCGTCTCTTCCTTTTCAGCTAACTTTTTGTCTATACCCATTAAGCAACCTGGACGTCTTGGCTCTCTTTGTTTTTGTAAAAAGATTCTATCTTCCTTAATTTTTATTTGTTCCAAGGCATAGACGTGACCAATATCGAATAAGTTGTCCAAGTTATTTCAAAATTCTTCTTCACGCTTTCTATAAAATTATTATGAGTTGTCAAAAACACAAACAAAATTATATGAGAATCTAAAAATCAATGATTAATCAATATCGGAGTCATCACTGGACAAATCAGAGTCGTCGCTAATTAACTCGATCACAACTGGTTCAACAATAATGTCTATGTTAGTATCCAGATCCCACATTCTCTGCTCTTCCTTGATGACGTGTTGGATACATTTTTGCCAGTTCTCGCTGGATACGTTGTTGATGGCATTTTGTAACAATAACTCGACATCCGTTAACTTGAAGGTTATATTGATGCTCTTCAGTTCACTTCATAGGGTGGTAAGCGATGAATAAAAACGCCATGCTGGCGGGCCATTTCATCTATAGCGTACAATTGACGTGGGTTTGTTTTGCCTAAAGATATTAAGGAGTTCAAGTCTAAGCATTTGTTCCTGGTATTCAATGTTTTTTATCTTGAGCCAATTTATTGTGGCACTTCTTCGTCATGAACTAGTAGGGAACTTTTCTAGTCGGCGACTGAGATATGGAGCATTATCGATTTCCACGACTGAACCAGAAGGGATATACAGTGATAATCTGCAATCTTTTTGGACTCAAATGTCAATAATCTGTTGTCCAGAAACCCTTCATCGCTGCCAATGCGTGTTACAATAAGCCTCCGCCCTTTACCTGAAAATAAATTTTCTATAAATTCAAGCGTCTAGGAGAACAGTAAATGAAGGATGTTAGTCTTCTAATGACCTTAACTTACATGACTTTTTTGTATTTCTTTTTTTCTGATAAGAACCTAATAAAAAACACTTTTCATTCCTTCTGATATTCAAGTTACGAATCAGTTTATCTTTGTTTTGGTTGTTTTTTATGAGTAATGGTTTTCACTGTTTTATAGAGTCCTGAAAAAGTCCATAAATTATTAGACATAGGCAGCTCTGTAACAGAAAACTGTTTCTTTGGATCCCAATAAGATAATATATCTTCCTATTTTCGTATCTGTACATCCGCATTTCCGCTAAGTACTTACGTCTGCGAACAGCATATTTGGTATCTTTATCTAGAACGATTTTCTTACTTCCTCTCGTACCACCACTAGTCGTCGGATGTTTTTCTCTGTCAGTTGAAGTTTTTCTATTGATTATCGGAAAAATTGTTCTTTCAGACACTTTTGTTAAGATGCTACAAAGTAAAACAGCTTCATGAACACCTAATGTTTTGTCTCGCACACGAAGTCCATCGTAAACGTTGCGTATTAACTCTCTCTTCCCAGTAGAAAAGGTTATACACTTTTTTTTTGGTGTCAAACTTTCACTTTGCCCATCCATTATTTGTCTCGTCTATTGTCAATCACTATCTAATCGCGTTCGAACTATTCTCCTTAGGTTACACCAGTGAAATGATCCGCGTATTGTCATGTTAGCAAATAGAGCGGAGATATACACCAATCGCGATCATCGACTGCACAACACCTGACAGAGTTGTCATGTTGCTCTTATAGCCGACAATTCCATGTTCGTAACTACCAAACTGATGACTTACGAACTCCTCTCCCGTCAGTCATAGTAGAAATTTTACATTGTGCCATATTCATAGTCCTACTACTATTTGTCCATTTGAATATGCGTTTCTTAGTTCTTGCTATTTTCACATCATATAGTTTTTAAATGGACAGGTAAATTCATTTTTGAAATCGGGCAACTGCGGCTTTTCAGCAGCATAGATGACTCACTGCCAACAATGTCGTACTTTTGCTAATGTTGGACCAGCGAAAGATTGCAAGCCGAAAGAATGCGGACAAAAAATTGCGAAGTTGTCAGATGTTCTACATAAAATGCGGTCCATACATATTAACATATTTAAGATATAGAATTGTTCCGCTGAATTTGGCAATGTAGCTGGAAAACCCAGGCCGCAGGTAAACATCCGGTCGCTGATTGGTCCAAAACTCTTATCTTATCTGAAACTAGAATAACGTGCCGATGGCACGGTCATTTA